CCACTGCCCCTAACACAGTTACAAAAGAACTTTAAAAAGAGCTTTTGCATCAATTTCTTAAAATTATGCTCAGTACTTTACTAGATACTTAGCTGATTAAAGATATTTTTCCTGCTCTTGAAAGCTTAGATTCTAAGGACATATGATGAAACAAGAAAAGTCACTCTAAGGAATCATATTTCTTATACTCAAAACTGAATGTTGAATTTGAAGCCCTGATACTGTTAACTAAAAGTGAGATCATGTTAGTCAGTCTTTTCCTTTATATTTTTAAAAACCTAATTATTTAAGATTTATATGTTATATTTTTATACATAAAAGGTCTTAGTATAAATGCAGGCACTGAAGGGTAAAAAAGATTTCATTCCACTTGAAAGATAAAGAAAAAGCTACTCTGAAGCATCAAAAGTGAAAGAAAAGAAAAAGATTACAACACCTGGATAAGATATTTAGCTCTGAGTTTTCTGTCAACTAAGACAAAAAGGAAACACGTTAAATTACACAGTTCTCATTTTCTTAAAGAAAAAAAAAAAGATATAGCTTCAGCTACAGAGGCAAAAATTTTTCCTGGAACTCACGCAAACAATAATTCATCATGAGATTTTTGTCTAAATGAGACTAAGAAGGATCATAAGCTTCTGTTTCAGGGGAAAAAAAAAAAGTTTTAACAGTAAGTATGTAATCATGGTTGAGTTACTTAACCATGAGTTACTCAGCATCAGTTTCATCTGTAAAAGTAGGGACAATGATACTTATCTCAGGGGGCGGCAGCAAACACTAAATTATGTAATATAAATGGAAGCACTTAGTAGGTCCCTAAAGTTTCAGAAAACAGAGATTTTGTTCTGATCTTCTATAAAGGCAGGGATCATGACGTTAAATTGTGCCTTTTTTTAAAAAATAAGATTGATTTTCGGCTGTTCCGGGTCATCACTGCTGTGGGTGGGTTTCCTCCAGCTGCGGGAGCGGGGGCCACCCTTCACTGCGGAGCTCAGGCTCTTACTGCAGAGTGCCGGCTCCAGGGTGCAGAGGCTTTCGGAGCTGCAGCGCTGGGGCTCCAGAGCGCAGGCTCAGCAGGGCTTCCCTGGAGGCTCAGTGGAAAAGAATTTGCCAGCAACGCATAAGACGCAGGTTTGATCCCAAGTCAGGAAGATCCCCTGGAGGAAGAAATGGCAACCCACTCCAGCATTTTTGCCTGGGAAGTCCCATGAACAAAGGAACCTGGTGGGCTACAGTCCCCGGGGTCACAAAGAGTTAGACACAACTGAGTGACTAAACAACAATCCTTTCTTAACATTCTTTTATTAGGTTAATACACTTTCTCTAAAGAAAAGATGAGAATAAAAGTCACGCAATACACTTTCCAAATACACACAATGGTTTTTTAATATATCAGTTCTAAAAATTTATAGAATAAGAGGCCACTATCAATTTTATCCTTCCTGGAAATTCTTAAGACCACAACTGAACTACTCATGTGAATGAGGTTTTAAGCTAACATTTTGAGCTAAGACCAATGCAGAAAAGAAAAATCCTGTGGCCATGGCTCACCTATCCTAGCACTGTCAACCCAGGACTATCCCACTCATTTTCTTTTTTTCATGTAACACATATTTGATAACTATTTAAATGAGGTGGGGACCTCATTTCGTATTATTACCATACATACACAGTCTTACCAGAACTAAGTAACATCACTTATAAAATTAAGGCAAGACCTGTCCAATGCAAAAAAGAATATGAAAGACTTTAAACGTTCATTTGGTCTCTTTATGAATCACTTATTTAAACTGAGAAAATCTGGCTGATTCAATCAATGACTCATGCTAGATCATTTTCACAGGGTCCTGACAGGGGTGAGGCGTGCTCTAAGCAGCCAGCCCCCCCGCACTGGGCGTGCCCCTGAGAGGGGCACCTCCACTATTTTGTGCCTGCGGTGACTGCGTGCCCTCCCGAGTTTCAGTCCTGGTTTTCACTTTCAATAAATTTGACTTCTTTATCAGAGTTATTCTCATTCAACTGTTATCTACTGGCTGTTCTGGGCACATCACCCTCAGAGTCATAAAATGAATAAATCAATCTTGCAGATTCTTTTTCATCAGGTAAGTGTTCAAAGGAATGTTTAAGCATATTCCTGGGTTACAGGCTATTTTCTTTCCATAGAAGCCTTCTGTATTTGCATTTGGGTCTGCATACATTATAAGGGCTTCTCAGGTAATGCAGTGGTAGAGAATCTGCCTGCCAATTCGGGAGATGCAAGAGATGTGGGTTTGAACTCTGGGTTGGGAAGGCTCCCTGGAGTAGGAAATGGAAATCCATTCCAGTATTCTTGCCTGGAAAATCCCATGGACAGAGGAGCCTGGGGAGACACAGTCCACAGAGTTGCAAAGAGTCACACGCGACTGAGCACGCACGCTGTATATGTGATGCAAGTTGGGGCAAAATGTTTCTTTCTTTCTTCTTTTTTTTTTTTTTTGGGCCAGGAGACGTGTGGGATCTTAGTTCCCGGACTACTGATCGAACTCAGGCCCCTGGCAATGAAAGTGTGGAGTCCTAAACAATAGACCATCAGGGAATTCCTTAAACCATTTCTTAGAAAAGATTACAAGCTTATATTAGATTTGTTCCATTAAACTTGAATTTTTACTTTGCTTTGGGGGGAAAAAAAGTTACTTTTCTTTGACTGTTTGGCATAAAGAAAAGTCATAATGTTGGATTATTTATATACCAAAATGAAGAAACCTCAAATGCACGAAAATTAACTGATAATTATTTAATTAGATGTGTATCCTTGCAAACTTCATTGATGCCACGTGGTAGCTGTCAATTTAATTCACCTTGCTAGTATTTAATTTTCATGTTAAGACATATTTTCCTTTAAACCTACTCAAGTCTCAACCCACTATTAAAAATTTTAATTTTTATCTGGACTCATGAATAATGTGACTCCAAGTATGACATACAAAATATAATTGAAGGTTTTCATATATTTTTCAGAGTTGAGCATAATTCTCTAAATTCAAATGAGACTTGCCATTCTAAATACATTATCTATTATGCAGCTTTTTGGGGGGAAAAAAAGCTTTTTGGTATGACTTAATGGACCTCTGTAGCTACTATTTCTTAAATATTCAGTTTTAAAAACTTTTGTTAAGATCCACATACTGAATACATCTGGCTTCCACAGTGAGGCAACAAACTATTTGAAATCAGAATCCTAGGACACAAGTGATAGTAGATAAGGCCTGGAATGCTGAAAGTCGGAAAAAAGAATAAATATCTTCATAAATTTCTCTACTCTGTTAACTTGTTGTCAGGTCTACTTATCTACCTAAAAACCATCTCTAAAATCTAGCCCAGGGACACTTTCTTATCCTTTTCACCCATCACATAAAATACACCTTTAAGAGAACTCACTCCAAAGGCCATTTCTAAGATAAAGACAGTCTCCCAATTCCCTTGACATTATTTCTAGGATATGTATCTTTAAGTTGTTTCCAGGAATATTCCTTGCTTCATCTCTCTCAATAATTTCCTTCCAATAATTTCTTCCTAAATACCTGATATATCTTTTCCAGACTAGGAAGCAATGTCTTCAGGATACTTATAAATCAATGATCTGCTTTGAGCATTTCTTTCTCTGTTAGGACTGCAAAATGGTAAAAACATGGCTAAGACAAGACAGTGATAGTACAGTGGAAAAAATTCATGGATTAAAAAACTAAGCTTAATGATACCAACTGTTGGTGAGAATGCAGAGCAACTGGAACTCACTTGTTGCTGGTGGGAATACAAAAGACATAGTCACTTGGGAAATAGTCTGGCAGTTTCTTATGACATTAAACATATACTTTCCACATGACCCAGTAATCCTACTCCTGGTATTTACCAAGATAAAAGGAAAATTTTATTTACATAAAACCATACACACAACAGTGTACAGCAGCTTTATTTTTAAGTGTTCCCAAATGGAAATGACGCAAATGACCCTCAACTGCGAATGGATTAACCAACTGTGGTATATCCATACAATGGAATAGTACTCAGCAATAAAAAGGACAAATTACTAATATTTATAACAACATGAATGAATCTTTTTTATGGCAACTGAGCAAAACCCAGACTGAAAAGACCAATAACTTTATTACTATTGTTATTATTTCCTTTTTTGGCTGTACTACTTGGCTTGTGGGATCTTAGTTTCCTGACCAGGAAAAGAACCTGTCCCTGTCAGTGAAAGTGCAGAGTCCTACCCACTGGACTGTCAGAGAATTCCCTGATAATTTTATTTATTTGACATTCTGTGAAAGGATAATACCTTTTGTGGGAAAAGGCAAAACTACAGGGATAGAAAACAGATCAGTGGTTGCTCAGACTGGAGTTGGGGAAAAGGGTTCAAGAGGGAATTTTCTGTGATGATGAAACTATTGTATATATTGCTTGGGGTGATGGTTACAGAACTGTGGGTATTAGCCAAAAATCACAGAAATGTATGCTAGAAAGGGTGAATTTTATTGTATATTATATCTCAATAAATCTGACTTTAAAAATGAGAAAGAAAACTGAGGTTATCCCAGTGACCATGTAGCTCTAGGCAAACCCCTTAAAACTTATTTTCTTCTTTTATAAAACAGGGATTGTATTAAGTCTAAAAGATTTTTCATGAGGAAGAAATGAAAGAAAACTTATGGATTTTAAAGTTCAACACAAATATTGTACACTAGGCACTGGCTACAGAATGATAAACAAGACAAGAGGTACACTAAAGAAATTTTACTGTCTAGAGGGAGAAAGGTGGAACACAGATGATTATTAAACAACATGGAAATTCAATGACAGAGATATGAATAAGGCAATAAGGGGCCATCAAGAATTAGGAATTCCAGGAATAAGAATTAACTCATAATGAATACGGGCAACTGGGATCCAATAATCTCAACCCAATTTGATTCTGAAAAAGCCTAAAGTGTTAAAAAGTATTGACAAAATGGAAAAAGTACCTCACGATGATTTAGAAGTTGTTCCAAATCTAATGCCATTTGATCCTTCATTTGCTGCAAAGCTGACTTTTCTTTACTTAAATTGCTAGGGGGAAAAAAAATACACCAAGTTTAAAAAAACTGTCATACTAGTCAAATTTAACAAATAAGAAATTATAAAAGACTAAAGACAACTTTGATCGTTTGAATTAAAGAGAAATTAAATTTATAGTTCATAAAGATATCAGATCAGTGACTACAATGTTTGATTCAATCATTGACCTAGCTATTTTATAAGAATATTTTTTCAGTCTGACAATGTGACTGAAATGTTTTCATAGAATACTTTCCTGCCTAGTGGGGGTATACAGTTAGTGTTTTCTTAAAGATGATGGGTTATTCCTCACTGAAAGTCAAATTATAACATTTATCCTTAAAACCAAAAGCATATTTTATAATTTACCACATACTAAATTACCAGCTATATAACTGAGATAAATTAATTAGATATTTGGTCTATGGTAAATGCAGGCAAACAACTTTTGCCTCCATATTCTTAGTTCAGTCTTTAATTTCTAAGTCTGCATTGTGGATTTCTCTTTGAAATGACCTATTTTCTGATAGGAAAGGGTGACAAGCCTAATTGTAAGGACATATTATTATTTGAAAAGATAAATATCTGAGGCTTATCTTATACTGTCTGGAGTTTTATTATTCAACATATAAAAATTAGTCAGAACCATTAAATATTCTTTGAAAGCCATTGGGGTGAGTCTACTCAGACAGTACTGCAACCAGGATTAAGAAAAGCAACAGTGAAATGAAGAAACACAATTCCTTGAATGTCAAAACAGAATCTGAGATGGTACAATTAATGAGAATTGTTTGCTGAACAGGTAGGATGTTTTAAGTTATACTTAAAGAAAATGGAATGCCACCAATTTTTAAAATATTAGGGAGAAGTTTTTTAAACTCAAGGAATAGCAGTAGGTGTTCTGGGAGAACTGGTAATTCCAAGGACTTGAGAATAGAGAGATTCAAATTCTCTTCCTTCCTAGAAATAGAAGTCTGTCTTCTGAGAGGAAAGACTAGATGCAATTCTGGCTTCCATTTCCAACTGTGCCACTGATTCAACTGTGTAGTATAATGCACCACAAATACCACCCCACTGAACCTCAGTAGTCACATCTATTAAAGTGGAAATGAAGCTTATGTATGTCAAAGGGACATGTGAATTATCTAATGAATGCTTATATAAAACACTGAACACAAACCTCTACATACATGCTATACTGTGTTACTAATTTATATAAGGAAGAGTCATCAGAGGAAAATGGTAATTAAATGTCAATAAAGGTAAGCAGCTCAGCAGGAAAACAAACTGACTTTTGTATTTAGGCGCCAGAAATCCTACTGAGCCGAGGAGTTGAAAAAACCTAGATGATATAAAGGAAATCTAGTGCCGTGTTCTGCTTGAGTTCCCCCCAAAATGGTAAAGGATTGGGTGTTTCTGTAACTTTATTTTATTATTTTTTTCCATTAAAAATTTTTTTTTTAATTTTTATTTTTATTAGTTGGAGGTTCTATAAGTTTAAAATTCTATCTTTAGCTAAGAAGACAAAATATTTTTCAAAATGAAAATAAATGTCCAATAAATAGGAAGAGGACTTTTCAAAGAACAGATATGTGTTTGTATACATACTCATACATTTACATATTCATATACATGTATCCCCCCTCCCAGAATGTAAACATGTACTCCATGCAGTATACACATGGGTGTGCATACAAAGACACAAAGACACAGGCTCTCAAATGCCAACAGGCCCATTAAATAAAGGACAGTGTAATAGGAATGGAACGTTGATGTAATCAAAGGATTTGGACTGAATAATTCATTAGAAATGGTTCATATGTAGTGCCTAATTTTTTCAGAATAAGGTAAATATGTTATATTTAAGTAACAAAAATAACCATATAATATGGAGTAAAAGGCAAGTGGATAAACTGGCTTACAAAGCAACTCTGCGACACGTTGGCTCCACAGACAACATGCTGTGTTGGATGCTCAGTCGTGTTTGCCTCTCTTACGACTGCAGTCTGCCAGGTTCCTCTGTCCATGGGATTTTCCAGCCAAGAATGCTAGAGTGTGTTGCCATTTCCTTCTCCAGGGGATATTCTTGACCCAGGGATTGAACCTGGGTCTCCTGCCTTGGCAGGTGGATTCTTTACCATTGAGTCATCAGGGAAGCCCCTTGGGTGTATATTTTCAGTCTTAGCCTTGTCTTTCTTAAATCAAAAGGGAGACCACTTTCAACATGTGGGTCTCTAAAAGTGAATATGATGATTACTATATTCTGTGTTCTTCCACACACAGTAATTACTCAATGGAAGTTTAATCTCCATAGGACATTTCATAACAGTGGAAACTTACCCTTAAAAATACAAAGCTTCTATGCGTGACTCATAAAGCAACTACAAAACAAATCTCCTTATAAGCACATCTATGGTGAATGGTATATTACACCCATAATTGTTCAATTCACTGTTAATTATTACTCAGAAATTCGTGTTTATGGCTCTGTTTCACCTGCTGTATGAAAACATATTCCTGATATACTGTTCCTTAACTTCCTGGATCAATATACTCTGGCTTAGTCTTATAAGCCTAAGTAGTCTACTCCTCCTAAATGACTAGTTAACAAAAAACAGAGAACTGACAACAGAAAAAGAAAATTTATGCTAATTCTCTGTGCATGCTTCGTTCAGTCCTGACCTATAGATCAAACCTATATAGCTCAGACTCTCTTGTGGATTGGTGGAGGATTGTTAAACGTACTACTTTTAGAACAGAGTATTTCTTTAATGACAGTGAATAGTGATATCTCAAGTGTTAGCTATTAACATGTTTATCACAATCTCATTTTAGTGCATATTTACTCTACCTTCCTAGGCACTGAATAAATTGTATCAATAGCTAAACTGGCAAGTTGTGGGTGTGATATAGTGACACTGCCTTATTTTGTAGAAAAATGATAAAATAATATTTAGTTCTTTAAAGAAGGTTATATTGTATAAGCTAGAGAAATATTTACAAATTAATCAGTCTATGTAAATATTCTTTACAATTAAAATCCACACCCAGCAAAAACAAACAGGAATTTTCAAGGAACATAATCACTTAGTCATCTTTTTGGATGGGTCATTGAATGCTTAAATTCTGAATTAATGAAGGACAAGAGGAAGGGAGGTAACATTTACTGAGTTTCTCCTGTGTGCCGGAAGCTTTTGCTTTTTATATGCTACTTCATTTAATTTTCACAATTACCCTTTGATGTTCACATTAATATCTATATTTTTACAGATGCATTTACCATGAGGAAAAAAAACCAGGCTGATGTGTACTTGAAGCCCAGGATAATTCTACTCTATTTGAAATGCCACTGGCTCAGAGTCAGGGTGATGGTAGACAGAATGTGACCTAACCTGCTGTGTCTGACTTGTTGATTGGGCTGTGTATTGTATGGCATCTTTTCCTCCATGACATCAGGGTACATCTACAGCATCTTGAAAGCCATAATTAAAATGCTGAAAGCACCATAACTCTTCACATTAGAAGACAGTTGCTTCAGTGAAGAGCAAGACTTCATATCCTGTGAAATATCAGTTCAGAGTCTACTAAAATAGTATATAATAAATTTATGAAACACAGACAGCTTTAAAGGTCTCAGATGTTTAGCACATAAAATTTTTTTTGTTTGTTTAATTCCATAACTGGCATAGTTCTTATGATTACTTACTGTTGCTGTTATTAAGGGAGTCCTAATTTTTGTCATGGAGAAAGAAATGGCAATCCACTCCAGTATTCTTGCCTGGGAAATCTCACGGACAGAGGAGCCTGGTGGGCTACAGTCCATAGGGTAGCAAAACAGTCGGCCCTGACTTAGCAACTAAATAAATTTTTGTCAAGATTCAGCATATTTTGAGAAATGTTATTACTCATTTGAAAGATAATTTTCAACATAAAAATATGTTAAGAATAAGACAATACTAATAATATCAAACATTTATTGAGCATTTTAAGCATAGGAACAGTGCTACATATGTTACAAAGGTTGTATCACTTAGTGTCAGAATAACCACGTGAATTAGGTGCTGTGGGTGCCACCCTCATTTCACAGATGAGAAAACTGGCTACAGTGTCCAATACTACAGCCACTAGCTAGCCAAAATTGGCAATGAAAATTAACATTAATTTAATTAAAATAAAATTGAAAATTTAGTTTCTCAGTAACACCATATGCTCAATCGCCACATGTAGCTGGTGGCTATCATATTGGACACTGCAGAAAGATAGTATTTTATAATGATAGGAAGTTGTACTGGATGAAGTTCAGAGACTTTAATTGATTTGCTCTAATTCAAAACTAAGGACGGAGCTGGATTTGTCCTTGTCCTCCCTTTTAAATCTGTTTTTTGAAAAGTAACTTTATTATGAAATATTTCAAGAGAGAAAATTTAATAGGCCCCCATGTATCTCTCAGCCAGTTTCAACGAAAAGCTCTCCTTTTAACTATTAATCTACACTATTTTTTGTTTTTTTGCTCCTCTTAATTATATTAATGAAAAATTAGCTCTTATTCAGATTAGAACATAGGGAGGCAGTATAACATAAAGGTGAAGATTATGGAATTAGAAAGCAGACAGATCTGGATTCAAATTTTGGCCCTATCACAAAACTAATATGTTCTTAGATGACAAATAGCTAAATTTCTCTAGGGCTGAATTTGTTCATCATTATAATTTTCTCCTGTAGCTAGCTATATTTTTCTTTATAATAAATATTTTTAGCTATCCTAATTCTTAGTAAAATAAATATTCAAACAAATTTACTTGAAGGTAATTCTGTAAGAGGCAAATTTCCCACAGGGCTTTTTATATATCCCTGCTCCAAAATTACAAAGGTAAAACAAAACTCTATACAAAATTTCAAATATAACAAATTTCTATAATATGTAAAGAAAAAATTCTCTTTGGGGCTCTTTCCTCAATTTCCCTAGGATAACCAAGTGTCCAGTGAATGATAAGACATAATTTCTATTGCTCCCGATAGCTATTTATAGGACGGTTTAGTTAATTCGTTGAATTAATTTGATAATGTTGGTTATGAATATTTTAAATATTTAACTTTAAAATCTAGAAATAAATTGTTATCTATGTTGACATTTAAAACATTAATGTGATTTAAAATTACTTTATTATATTATTGAAAAATTATGATCAAGAATAAAATTCTGGGCCAAGTTTTTGGTGGGGTAGAAAAGAGAGGAAAAGATAATTATTCTGATTCATCAAAAACAACATTCACACTTTTGAGTTAGTTATCAGAGAGCTCCAGTGGCGCAAACAGTTAGCATGTGGTCCTTATATGGAGTTAATTATCAGTAGTTTTATATTTTTGGTTACATACCTTGGGAAACCTAAATTTAATAGCTATCTTCTCCAATAATTATATTTTAAAATAAACTACCTTTTCTAATTACTTAATTTAAGAATTGTCTTTCTCATCTAATTCTTTGCTTATACTTTTATAAATTGGTTAATAATTTATCTAATTATTTATCCTAAATAATTAAAAAATCTAATGATAATTAAGCCAACTAACGAAGCATCCATGAGTTAAAACATCTTTCTTTACATAATATCATTATTCTACTGTAATTTAAAAAGATTAAAATGATCTCATTAGATGAACAGGTAAAGAATCTGAATAATTATTCAGTGGAGCAAGTCTTTTGATAAGGTGTCATGTAAGAAAACAATTTCAACTAAGGACGTGAAAGGAATTTATTTACATTGAGGTCATTTATGGTTTACTTCATGTAAAAGGTCAGAGGCAGAAAAGCCTAAATTCCTTGGCAAAGTCAACAGGAATCTAAGTAAATGTGTACATTTTATCTGTTTAAAAAGTCGTTCTGACTCCACAAGTGGCCCATCCCACTAAAGAATTCTCGGGAACAAGGACAGCATAGGTTGGCTGTTGTGTGCCCTGGGGTGGGAGCAGTGCTTTGTCAATCAGTGTAGCATTGCTTTCAGGGTAAGACTTCTGATTATCAGGTGGGATGTGAATACCTTAATGGGATGTGACTTAGCTTTTCTAAGAGAAATAGAACACATCACATTTAAGACCACCTTCGTCATGTACATTTTTTCTTCCCAATTTCCAACCTCAACTCAACTACAGGAGTATTATGCTCACAATGCCTTTATTATCCAAATAAATAATAATAACATTTTATTACTCAAATACAAGATTTGTAGATGGTTACCTGACATCTTTTTCGAGTTCGGTAATACACTTCTTCAGAGAATCAATCTTAGAATCTCTCTGACGCACTGATTCAATGAGATACCTGTAAGGTTGTTGCGTCTGGTTTAACAGAGAATTGGCCCTGTCAAGCTAAACAAAAAAAAAAGTTTCATTAAAATCTAGACAATTTTATAAGAAACTGAAACTGCTCAAAACGCTCTAGCACAGACACCACCAGCTCTCCCTTAGACGAATTACTCTGAAAAGCTCTTCCTGTGTAAACTTGAAAGTTTTAAAAATTACTAACCAACATACTATTCTTTAAAATAAGAATAAAGACCATGTAAATAGGAAAGAAACATTTTAAATAAAATATTAAGTCTTACCAATTTGGGGCATGAGTCACATAAATTTTCTTACTATTTGTTTGTCTGACACAACATGTGATATAAAATTTATCTTTTAATGAATATCCATTAGCTACAATGAAAATCATTTATTTGAACTTTATTTCTACTCAAAATAATATAGTGAAAGTGTTAAGTCACTCAGTTGTGTCCAACTCTTTGTGACTCTATTGAATGTAGCCTGCCAGGTTCCTCTGTCAATGGAATTCTCCAGGAAAGAATACGGGAGTGGGTTGTCATTCGCTTCTCCAGGGGATCTTCCCAACCCAGGGACTGAACCTGGGTCTCCTGCATTTCGGGCAGGTTCTTTACCATCTGAGCCACCCGGAAACCCCCAAATAACACAATCACTTATAATTCAGTAATTTTTCATGCTTTCATATTCCTTCTCATCTTTACTTACATACCTAAACCACTATGTATAATTTATGCACTTAAATAACTATATTATGGCAGAAAGTGAAGAAGAACTAAAGAGCCTCTTGAGGAGGGTGACAGACGAGAGTGAAAAAGTTGGCTTAAAGCTCAACATTCAGAAAACTAAGATCATGGCATCCGGTCCCATCACTTCATGGCAAATAGATGGGGAAACAGTGGTTGACTTTATTTTTCTGGGTTCCAAAATCACTGCAGATGGTGATTGCAGCCATGAAATTAAAAAAGACGCTTACTCCTTGGAAGGAAAGGTATGACCAACCTAGACAGCATATTAAAAAGCAGAGACATTACTTTGCCAACCAAGGTCCGTCTGGTCAAGGCTATGGTTTATCCAGTGGTCATGTATGGACGTGAGAGTTGGACTGTGAAGAAAGCTGAGCACCGAAAAATTGATGCTTTTGAACTGTGGTGTTAGAGAAGACTCTTGAAGTCCCTTGGACTGCAAGGAGATCCAACCAGTCCATCCTGAAGGAGATCAGTCCTGGGTGTTCATTGGAAGGACTGATGCTGAAGCTGAAATTCCAATACTTTGGCTACCTCATAAGAAGAGTTGACTCATTTGAAAAGACCCTGGTGCTGGGAAAGATTGAGGACAGGAGGAGAAGGGGACAACAGAGGATGAGATGGCTGGATGGCATCACTGACTCAATGGACATGGATTTGGGTGGACTCCGGGAGTTGGTGATGGATAGGGAGGCCTGGCGTGCTGCGGATCATGGGGCCGCAAAAAGTCAGAGAGTACTGAGTGACTGAACTGAACTGAAATAATCATATATATTTTAAACAATCATGTTTAAAATGCAAACATAAAATTTATGATTTTGTGCATTTTACAGTGTACAATTCAATGGCATTAAGTACATTCACAACAGGTAAGCATCACTAATATCTATTTCTAGCACGTTTTCATCAACCCAAACAGAAACTGTACAGATTAAGTAAAAACACTCCCCTCAACTCCCTAGTTCCCAGAAATCCTGTTCTTTCTATATGAATTTTCCCATTCTAGATACCTCATATAAGTGGAATCATATGATATTTGTCATGTTGCATCTGTTTAATTCATTTAATTCTAATGTATTCAAGGTTTATCTATGTTGCACCATATTCCTTTTTATGGCCAAATAATATTCCAAGTATATTTATAGCATATTTTGTTTATTCATTCATCTGCCAGTGGATGCTTGCACTGTTTCCACTTTTTGGCTACTGTGATTAACGTTATGGTGTACAAATATCTGTTTGAAGTCCCAGTTTTCAGTTACTTTGGTTATCTACCTAGGAGAGGAGTGGAATTGCTAGGTCATATAATAATTCTATATTTAACTTTTTGAGGAACTGCCAACTGTTTTTCAAAGTGACTGCATCATTTTACATTCCTATCAGCAATGTACTTGGTTCCAATTTCTCCAGATCCTCTCCAGCACAGTTATTTTATGTACGTACTGGCCATTTGTATATCCTCTTTGGAGAAACGTCTATTCATATCTTTTGCCCATATTTTAGTTAGGCTTTTTTTTTTTTTTTTTGCTGTTGAGTCATATGAGTTCTTTATATATTCTGGATATTAAATCCTTAATTAGCTACATGAATTTCAAATATTTTCTCCTATTCTGTAGGTTGTCTTTTCACCATCTTGATACTGACCTTTGATCACAAAAGTGTTTAATTTTGATGATGTCCAATCATACTTATTTTTTTGTTGTTGTTGCTCATTCTTTTGGTGTCATTTTAAAGAAACCACTGCCGATTCCAAGGTCATAGGTTTTCTCCTTTGTTTTCTTCTATTAGTTTAATACCTTTATTTTGAAATTTAACATATTTGATTCATTTTGAGTTAATTTTTATATGCAGTGTAAGACATGGGTCCAATTTCAATCTTTTACATGTAGATATCCAATTTTACCAGTACCATTTGTTGAAAGGACTGTATTTTCTCCACTGAGTGGTCCTGGCATCCTTACTAAAAAACCATATATATGAAATTTACTTCTGGGCTCTCAACTCTATTCCATCAGTCCTGTATGTCTGTCCTTATGCCAGTGTAACACTCTTTTGATTACTGTAGCTTCACAGTAAGTTTTAAAATCTAAAGTATGAGTCCTTCTATCTTTGTTTTTCATTTTCAAGGCTGCTTTGGCTATTCGAGGTCACTTGAAATTCCACATGCATTTTTAAATGGGCTTTTCTGTTTCAGCAAAACATACCTTTGGGATTTTGATAGGGACTGCTATGAATCTGTCAAGTCATTTTGAGTAGTACTGTTATCTTAACAATATTAAGTCTTCCACATACAGGTAGATAAAAAGATGCTCAACATCACCAGTCACTGGAGAAATGTAAATCAAAATCATAGTAAGTTATCACCTGACACCTATCAGAATGGCCATCATCAAAAAGACTGCAAGTAACAAATGTTGGCAAGATGTGGAGAAAAGAGAACCCTTGAACACTGCTGGTGGGAATATAAATTGGTGCAGACACAATGGAAAACAGTATGACAGTTCTTCTAAAAACTAAAAATAGAGTTATCAGATGATCCAGCAATCCCACTCCTCTAAACATATCATTTATTTTAGCACTGCAATATCTTTTGGTTCTCCTCTCCTTCTTTGGAAAAGATGGAGATACATGCACCCCAATACTCATAGCAGAAATAACTCAAAATAGCCAAGATATAGAAGCAAGTCCATCAACAGATGAATGGATCAAGAAGATGTGGTGGCTTTCCAGGTGGCTCAGTGGTAAAGAACCACCTGCTAATGCAGAAGACATGGGCTTGATCTCTGGGGTTGGGAAGATCCCCTGGAGTAGGAAATGGCATCCCACTCCAGTAGTCTTGCCTGGGAATTCTCATGGACAGACGAGCCTGGCAGGCTACAGTCCATGGGGTACCAAAGGTGTCGAATAGGACTTAGCGACTAAACAATAACTACACACACACACACACACACACACACACACACACACATACACACAAATGGAATATTACTCAGTCATAAAAAATGAAATTCTGCCAATTGCAACAACATTGATGGACTTAGAGGGTATTATGCTTAGTGAAGTAAGTCAGACAGAAAGACAAACACTGTAATGTTATCACTTATCTGTGGAATCTAAAGAATACAACAAACTAGTAAATATAATAAAAAAAGAAACAGACTCACAGACATAGAAAACAAACTAGTGGTTTATCTGTGCGGAGAGGGAAGAGAGGGCAGGGGAGGATGGGGGTAGGGGAGGTACAAACTAGTATGTATAAAAGAAGTGGGAATTCCCTGGCAGTCCAGTGGTCATGCCTCTGCACTCTTATTGCCAAGGGCCCGAGTTCAATCACTGGTCAGGGAACTAAGATCTCACAGGCCATGCAGCATGGCCAAAAAGAAAAAAAAAAAGCTACAAGGATATACTATATAGCACAGGGAATATAGTCAATATTGTACAATAACTATAGATGGAGTATAATCTTAAAAAACTGTGAATCACTATGTTCTATATCTCAAACTTATACAAAGTTGTAATTCAACAATACTTCAATTTAAAAAATGAAAAGAAAAAACAACCAAGCCAACCAACCAAACACACAAAAAACAATCTTAAATCATCTTATGTATTAGCTAGGGATGTCTTCTTTAACTTCTTTTAGGAATGTTTTGTAGTTTCTAGTGTACATGTTTCTCTCCCCTTTGATCAAATTTATTCCTAAGTATTTTATTTTATAAATAAAATATTTTAGTTCCTTTTCAGATTGTTCAAAGTTAGTGTACTGTGTACAATTTTATATCATCCTTTTTCACTTTATCTTATATTATACTCATTCTTCCAGGCTGTTGGGAGGACCTTAATTTATATTTTTAATGCTTATAAAACTGTCTAGTAAGCCAATGAGTCACAACTTAATTGCACTGTTTATACTAGCAAACATTTAGGCTGTCATCAATTTTTGACTAGTAATAAATAATGCTAAAACAAATGATTTTATACTGTAGATAAAATTTTTCCTTAATACTTAAAAAATTTTTTTTCCATAACAGAAGCACCAATATTAAAGGGGTGCAAATATGTTATGTTCTTGATATATAAGACCAAAGATCTTTCTAAAGGATTTTATCATTTATGTAATCAACCAACCTTAGTTTTTTTTATTTCTTTGTGTTTACTCTTCTTCTCCTAAGCAAATATAAAATGTATGCTAGAATAGGATTAAACAGCATTGTCAGTATGAGGAGGCCACTACTTTGGTACATAATAAGTTCTTGAAAAAGGAATTATAAAGCTGGATATGTAAAAACTGAACAATTAGAA